TTTACCTTTGTAACAAACTATCAAATAGTTTTCTGATGTGGTCTTACAATTTCACATTCCAGCAGCTTTATATCCTTGCCAACATTTTATAGTGTTGATAGTCTTTTTTATTTTAGCCAATCCACGGGGTATCATTAAAAATCTCAAGCAGAGGAATGACTTGGGCTTTAAAAACGTCACTTGGATTATCAGATGGAGAAGGGGTAGAGTGGGGCCAGAGCAGATGTGGTAAGACTGGGTTGGGTGTGGACTGCAGAAGTCAGGTGAGAGAGGATGGCAGATTGAGGTATGGTGCTGATGGTGGAGATGGATGCGAGAGATAATTAGGAGTTGATTACTAATTAGGAACATTAGAAAAGGCCCAAATTATTATTTGCTGTTTGTTTGATTTTGGCTTGGTTTGGGGCATGTTGTATTTGTGGTATCTTAATCTCCAGCAAAGAGGAATGCTTAAATATAGTATGTTACAGATGTACTGTGGAACAGCAGCGTGCAGTCATTAACAGTGGTGTTGGAGAACAATATTTCTTGATGTGGAAAAATGTTCAAAATACATTGTTTAAAAAAAGTTTTAAAACCCTGTATAATGTATATAGTATGACACTTTTTAATATTTTAAAAATGGTATATAGAGAAAAGCCATCTGGAAAAATAGGAAGTGTTAACTGTGGTCTCTAGGTTGAGTTTTTAGAATAGTTTTTAATTTGGGTTATGGTTTTTTCTGGTTTTCTACAAAGAACATATGCTAATTGTGTAATATGAAAGAAGTTATTTAAAAACCACTTAACATTTCGAAAATAGACATTTATTTTAAGAGCACAATACAAGAATAAATAGAACCCCGAAAGGATGGGAAAGGTGGTGGCAACCGGATCTCGATCCTTCTTCCTTTACCCTCCAATACTCTTTCCCACCCTGTGCCTTCTGGTAAGGACACCTGGCAGGGATTCCCTGGGCCTTTTTCAGATTTGGAGAGTTGGAGTAGAAGGGCTGGTGAGAAAGGCTGAGTTGAACTCAAGTTAAAGGATCCCTTGTTCCCAACTGAAGGTAAATCCAAACCTCCTTTGGATTCCAGTTGTTATCTCTACCACTCCATGGATGGCTCGTATAAGTCACCTGCCACCTCCATGTTGCTAAGCTAACCCCAGTTCTCACCTCACACGACACGTCAGAAGCATGTGCCATAGTAATCTCTCCTTCCTTCTGGAAGCACCCTCCTGGTTGTCTCTATTTCATTGGTCACTCGTTCAATCTCCTTTGCTAGTTCTTGGTCTCTCAAACCTCTTAATCTTGGAGTGTCCAAGGGTTCGGTCCTTGAGACTTTTCTTCTACCTATACTTCCTTCCTTAGTGATTTCATCCAGTCTCAGCTTATATAATCTTTTACATACTGGCAACTTCTAATTACTGTCTCCAGCCTGGATCTCTCCCCTGAACTCCCGTCAGTGCTCCCCTTTGGCTTTCTGACAGGCATCTCTAAATTAATATGCCCCAAACAGAATACCTGTTCTTCCCCTCCCCAAACTGTTCCTCCTGAGTCTTCTCTATCTCGGGAGATGGTAACTTCAATCTCCCTTGTGCTCAGGCCACAAACCTTGAAAGCCGTAAATTATTGTCTTTTTGTCATTCTACATGTCCAAAACCTTTTGGATCTACCTTGAAAACATATTCAGATATGCTGTCCTGTGCCCCTGGCCCGTGCCACCGTCTCAGCCCACCTGGATTGCGGTAGCAGTCTCACTTGGCCTTCTCGCTTCCTTCCTTGCTCTTTGCAACTTACCTTCAACTTAGCAGTCGGAGTGATCCTTTAAAATATCATCAGATGATGTCACTTCTCAGCTCAAAAAACTCTTAACAAACTAAACATAAACAGAGTAAATGCCAGCCCTCAAAAAGCCTGAGGATACAGCTCTGGATGATAGACCCTCAGATGCTTTTCTGACTTACTTCTTACTACTGCTCCATCTGACTCCCTCTGACCCAGTCTCACAGCCCTTGCTAGTCCGTAAATATTCCAGCTGTGTAAAAAGCCTCAGGGCCTTGCATTTGCTCTTCCCTCTGCCAGAAATGCTTTTCCTTCAGATAGCCATCTGGATGCTTTTTTCTTTCAAGTCTGTGCTCACCTGTGCAGCCTTCCCTGATCTCCTCATGTAGAACTGCGACCTCTACCTCCATCATCGCCATCTCCCTTCCCTGCTTTATTGTTCTCCATACTGCTTAATACCTGCTACCAAATGCTATCACTGACTTATTTCAATGCTTTTTCTTCCCTTCCCCAGGCATTGAATAGGCACTATTTATTGGATGAGCGATCCTCACTCTTCTAGTTTCATGCAGAGAAATGTTTCCCCCACTAGCCTTGAGCTGCTTAAAGGGAGGGTGAGTTTCATGTGGTTCCTCCATTTCCACCTGCAAAGTGTCTTGGGTAGTTGAGACATGGTAACTGAAAGATGGAAGGAGACATGTACTCACCCTAAGTATGGAGACAAGGATAGAAGGCCAAGGTCATCCAGGAAAGCCCTGCTAATTATTAAAGATAGGTGTAGTAGACACCATTACTGACATTTCCACGTCCCCTCAACTCACCTGAGCTAACCTCATCTGAGAGCAGTTCCCAACACAGATACCTGTGTGTCTACCCTCTTCTTCCCCTCTTGGTAGGAAGTATATTAAAGAGTTCACATCCAGGAATAACCATCAACCAATAGGCCTAGGCAGGAGCTGGTAGATAAATGTCCCAGTCTCCCCAGACTCTAGGTAATGTGGTCAGAGTAAGATGGTGTCAGTAGTGTTTAAGTATGAGTTGAGAAGTAGAATATTTAAATATTTAAGAGGTCATCACATGCATTACCATACCATGAACAGGGCTTTAGCTTGAAAATGCCACTTAAATCATTTATTTTCAGTATCCAGCTGCGTCTGACATCAAAGAAGTACTCAGTGGATACTTGAAAAATGAATAAATATATATACCCTTAGTGGTGGGACCAAGAAATCTTCAGAGCTTTCTTAACAGTGGTGATGTGAGAATGTTAACAACTGTCAACTTGCCTCCCCTCCACCCACTTCCTTAGGAAACTCCTTTCTCTCTTATTGTCTATCTGGGATGTGGTACCTACTGACCTAGGCCCTTAGAGACCACCTACTTAAAATCAATCACAGACCACAGGCAAGAACCTGAATGTCTATTCTCTAATTGTCTGGTCCTTTTTCCACAGTAGCCACTGTGAAAATTTCAAAGAAGAAACTTAATTTTGGAGGCTATGAGTATTTTCAGATTTAATTTCAATAGTGTCACCATTTAAGAAAGCTGCCAAAAAGATAAGGGAGATGGAAAAATGCTCCCTAAAGTGTTATTCAAAGGTTAGCTATGGGAGGTTCACTGCTAAGGTCAACAAACCCAGGCCTGAGTGTAGAGGCAGCTCTTAAATTGGAGGAGCAAAGGAGAGTCTGCTCCTTCTGAACGGGACACCAGTGTACTTGCTGAGATCCAAAGGACACGGTTGTTTGCCCGTGCACCACCCCCAGCCCCTATTTTAAGTACACTACACTTATGCTGAATAGAATCAATGCTTACATTACCTATTTGTATTAAAACTGATGATCTTCTGCACTTCTCTCCTTTTACTTTTATCTCAGAGGCCACACACATGGAGCTCCAGCCACCTGCACCACTGGGCAATGGGCGGTCTCTCCAGGGTTTCCAACGGTCTGGGTACATGAGTGTTTTTCTTCCACATTAGTTTACATTTGTCCCAGCTGCATTAGAATTTAGATTCTGCGCATACCCTGGCTCTCAAAACCACATTCTTTTGCCCTCACACTACCTCTTTGTCATCTAACAACTGAATACACATTGTTCCCCTGGCTGGGCTTGTGAAAGGGGACTCTGGTGAAGAGTAAACTTCCCATTTTCTGGGCTTCCTTATCCTAGCGCCCAACACT